ATTGTTTCTCCTCTATGCCCTGCCTTTCTGAAATGCGTCGATTTTTACAAAGCTCATCAGTCTGAAAAGCAAGGTGTGCTCTGACTGGCCAGCTATCCACTGTGTTGTGATTGACCGAATACCTCAAGTGTGTGACGGAAATGTTATGCCCCTACCATATTGTGATGCCATGTCCCGGCCGGAGCAATGAGACAAAAACATTAGAACCCATTATAAACGAGGCAATTGTTGCATCCAGTGGGGACATAATTACTGATTATAATGACTTATACTGTCTTTTTACGCTGTTGCATTGCGCTGCGTAAACATAAAACCATGTCTGCATTTGTGATCGGAGAAATTACAAAAAACAAGCACTACTCTACACTGCTCAAAACTTGCGTTTGAATCAATAAGTGGCAAATTCTTTAAATATGAAAACGTACTTAAAGACTGTGAGTCAGAACAGCCGGCATTGTAGTCTACTCTACCAGGATCAGGAAACAGTCCTCCATAAAATGCGCGGCACACATCTGAATATTTGGGTTGAACTGTTCTGGAACAGTGTTGTAAATACAACTTAACCACTGATTTCTAGTCGTGTCCTCTTTTGGAAGGCCAAACAAGGTAGTTTCGCTTTCACAACGAAACACACAGTGTCTTCACAACATGGTGGCGGTGGCAGCAACAATAAATTTACGCCTTCTTTCTTTGCGTGAACATTTGGGCGGCATTATGCAAATCTTCCCACATCGTGACATAGACATGTGGAGGCGTGTTTAAACGAGGAGTTTTAGGAGGGCGTGGACGAGTTTTAACTTTTATAAAGAATATCTCTTTGGGTTTGAGACTTTAGTCTTTGCAACTTTAGGGATATTATCTATTCACGAACAACTTGTAACACTCCAAAGAGAAAGGAAAACTTGAAATCGCATCATATGACCCCTTTAATGATTATATTTAGCTGTTCGTTTTAAAATGTGTTGATTTGAAAGATAAAAATAAAGGAATAATTCACCCAAAATGAAAATTTGCTGAACATTTACTTACCTTCAGGCCATCCAAGTTGTATATGAGTTTGTTTCTTCATCAGAACAGATTTGGAGAAATTTAGCATTAAATCACTTTCTCACCAATGGATGCTCAGCAGTGAATTGGTGCCGTCAGAATGAGAGTCCAAACAGCTGATAAAAACACCACAATAATCCACAAGTAAAAATGTGCTTTTTGGGTGAACTAATCTTTTAATTGTTAGATGACAATGAAAGTAATCCAAATGTAAAAATAAGAAAACATCCTATATACGAAGAAGATATTTATTCAATATGGACAAATTCGATAAAAAAATCTCTCATTCAAACTGATAACCAACATGTTACTAATATACACTATCATACCCAAGATCCCTAATTTGTTTTACCTAAACTAATTAAAGCTCTTTTTTTGTAAAATTCTCTCTAAACCGAATGTTCTCTTCCTGATGCAGGTGATGGACAGGTGGACTTTGATGAATTTATGACAATATTGGGACCTAAACTTGTTTCTTCTGAAACCAGAGAGGGCTTCTTAGGAAGTACAATAGACAGCATATTCTGGCAGGTATGAAAAGCATCCATCTATTTTCTATATTTCAATGTTCTCTTGTCTTTCTCATTGCTTGGGTGTGCATTTGTATTCTGAGCATGCGGATAAGATTACGGGTCACACTTTGCCCTCTCCACCTACTTCCTCCGTCCCATGACGACTGGTTATTGTGAATCTTCTTAGACTTCTCAGCTTCAAAGTGAGCAGGCAGATCTTACCATTTCAAAGTGATCATTCATTCATATAGTGAGGAAATCCCAGTTTCACTTCCAAGAGATTTCTTTGGGCGTCGAGGAAGGCAAATTAATTGAACGATTTGCCACTTAAAATGAGAAGTATAGATCTGAATTAGTCATCACAGGCATTTGGGCAGCGTTTTTACTCTCTCTTTCTTGTTCGGTCTTCATCTCTGCTTTTATTAAATAAGAATTTAGACCGAAAAAATAGCTGACTTCCTGTCTTGATTGAGCAGTGTCTGAGTTTATGTTTGCATGCCTATGTGTAGCGTCTTTCCTCACAGTGGAAGCCGAGCGATGTGTGTAGGAGTGAGCAACAGCAAGGTCACAGACACTGGTTGTCTCTAAGGTGATATAAATGCTCATCTCAACACACCTTTTGTGGGACACAGTGACTCATTACTGCAACAGTAATCCATGTAACATCATCACACCAGCATACCAAACACCCTCTCCCTCTCTGATGTTATTATGAGGCCAATACAAGTCTAATAATGGCACAATGACAAAACCTCCTGGGAAATATTGTGTTTTGACAGAGCAACTGTTATTGTGATCATTTCAGTTTTCTACTAGAGATCCTACACTTTTCTTGCACAGTTCAGTTTTTGAATATGTGGTTTAGTGTTATTGTTCAAAAGCTTGAGGTCAGTAAGATTTGTGACCCTGGACCACAAAACCAGTCATAACTAGCACAGGTATATTTGTAGCAATAGCCAACAATACATTGAATGGGTCAAAATTATCGGTTTTCTTTTATGCCAAAAATCATTAGGATATTAAGTAAAGATCATGTTCCATGAAGATATTTTGTAAATTTCCTACCGTAAATATATCAACACTTAATTTTTGTTTAGTAATATGCATTGCTAAGAACTTCATTTGGACAACTTTAAAGGCGATTTTCTCAATATTTAGATTTTTTTGCACCCTCAGATTCGTCACACTTTGCCCTCTCCACCTACTTCCTCCGTCCCATGACGACTGGTTAATGTGAATCTTCTTAGACTTCTCAACTTCAAAGTGAGCAGGCAGATCTTACCATTTCAAAGTGATCATTCATTCATATAGTGAGGAAATCCCAGTTTCACTTCCAAGAGATTTCTTTGAGCGTCGCGGAAGGCATATTAATTGAACGATTTGCCACTTAAAATGAGAAGTATAGATCTGAATTAGTCATCACAGGCATTTGGGCAGCGTTTTTACTCTCTCTTTCTTGTTCGGTCTTCATCTCTGCTTTTATTAAATAAGAATTTAGACCGAAAAAATAGCTGACTTCCTGTCTTGATTGAGCAGTGTCTGAGTTTATGTTTGCATGCCTATGTGTAGCGTCTTTCCTCACAGTGGAAGCCGAGCGATGTGTGTAGGAGTGAGCAACAGCAAGGTCACAGACACTGGTTGTCTCTAAGGTGATATAAATGCTCATCTCAACACACCTTTTGTGGGACACAGTGACTCATTACTGCAACAGTAATCCATGTAACATCATCACACCAGCATACCAAACACCCTCTCCCTCTCTGATGTTATTATGAGGCCAATACAAGTCTAATAATGGCACAATGACAAAACCTCCTGGGAAATATTGTGTTTTGACAGAGCAACTGTTATTGTGATCATTTCAGTTTTCTACTAGAGATCCTACACTTTTCTTGCACAGTTCAGTTTTTGAATATGTGGTTTAGTGTTATTGTTCAAAAGCTTGAGGTCAGTAAGATTTGTGACCCTGGACCACAAAACCAGTCATAACTAGCACAGGTATATTTGTAGCAATAGCCAACAATACATTGAATGGGTCAAAATTATCGGTTTTCTTTTATGCCAAAAATCATTAGGATATTAAGTAAAGATCATGTTCCATGAAGATATTTTGTAAATTTCCTACCGTAAATATATCAACACTTAATTTTTGTTTAGTAATATGCATTGCTAAGAACTTCATTTGGACAACTTTAAAGGCGATTTTCTCAATATTTAGATTTTTTTGCACCCTCAGATTCCAGATTTTCAAATAGTTGTATCTCGACTAAATATTGTCCTATCATAACAAGCCATACATCAATGGAAAGCTCATTTGATGTAAAAATGGACCCTTATGACTAGTTTTGTGGTCCAGGGTCATATTTTTTAAAATAAATTAATACTTTTATTCGGCAAGGATGCATTAAATTGATCAAAATCTCAAAATCTTAATCTCATCTTCAAATATTATCTTTAAAATGTTTCATTACAAACATTGATTTAAAAAAATACAAAATTAAATAAAAATGGATTAAAAATCTAATACTACAAATATAAATTAATAATGATTTCTACTAGTTGTAATAATAATAATAATACCATTATTAATAAAAACTTAATTTAAATAGACGACAATGAAAGATTTAAGTTAATTAATTATTTACACTTAATTTATATCAATTTACAATACAGTACACCAATCCTGTTACCTTTTGATTTTTTTCCAAGGGTTTTTTTTTTTCAAGGTTAAGTGCATTTTTGCAGGCATTATCTGTAAGGTTCCTGTCAAAAGCTGTTTGTGTCATAAAACCATTCTTATAAATATTAACGCACCATGTCTTTGACATTGAGGTCTGGTAGACTGATGACCTCTATGTAAAGAGTCATACAGTGCACTGGAACCAGATCAAGCCCAAAAAGCTGTTGATTTTTAAATCTGTGCTGTAGATGTGAAGTCATAAACCAGTGAGAAGAAAGTTAGCTCTTATCTGTCAGCACAAAGAAGTTGTGTGTGTCCTCATAAGGATGTCATCTCAGTTTGGATTTGCATGCTGACTAGGACATTTTTCATCACAAGAACCTTGAGGCCCTTTGTGTAACATGAAAGACTGAGCACGTATTAGAGGGTGGCGTTTAAAAATGTTCTTAACAAGATTGTCAATGGGGACGTCAGAGTGGAGCCAAGAGCTACAGGCAATCATGGATTCTTAGGAACACATAGGCATAAACAAGCTTGTTTTCCCCACCTCGAGGAACACAAACCTGGGGAGTGTAGTGTTGTTGCCAACAGCTCTGTTTTGACAGTGGAAATGATTTGAGACAAAAACAGTCAGCATTAGCCAGTATCACTAACAGCACATTCTAGCCATATGTGATGTTTAATTCACATGTATATTTCACTGTTTTTTTTACTATTGTTTAAAAACATCTCTACTGCAGCAGCACCAGAGATGGTGATGCATTCAATTATGTAGCTGATACATTAAATGATGTAGTCTACCTATGTTGTATTGCATTACAAGCACATTTCTGATGTATTCTATGATTCTAGAAAAAATAAATAAATAAATTTAGGGGGAAAAAATTTAAATTCACAGGAAAGACATTTTTTATGTTACAAAAGATTTCTCACAGTTTACACAAAAATACTAAACAGCACAACTGTTTTCAACATTTATATTAATAAGAAATTTTGTGGAGAACCAAATCAGCACATTAGAATGATTTCTGAAGGATCATGTGACACCGAAGACTGGAGTTATGGCTGCTGAAAATTCAGCATTGCCATCACAGGAATAAATTACATTTAAGATATATTAAAAGTTGTACTGCTTAATATCTTTGTAGAAACATGAGGATTCAGGATTCTTTGATTAATTGTAATAATTTAAACTAACATATTTTATAATTTTGTATCATTATAAATGTTTTTACTGTCACTTTTGATCCGTTGGCTTCCTTGTTTAATAAAAATATTATTATTATATATATTTTTTTAAATCGTACTGACCCGAAATGTTTGTACACTAGTGTAAATATATAAATATTTGGCAAATAAATTGTCACATTCATTTGTGCTTAGTAATTAAGCAGAAAGCTTTATGCAAGCTTTGCACAAATCACATTTCAAAAGACCAAATTCACATTTATGTACAGAAATTTTTTAATTTTATAAAATTTATGAAATTATTTTATATTCCATTTCTGATGTCTCAGTTAATGTCAATAAATACCTGATAACAAAAATATCTGAGCAGAGAGGAAAAAATATCTGAGCAAATGTAAAACCGACTTGATATTGTGGGCCCTATCATACACCCGACGCAATGCTAGCAAACTAGCAAAAAATTTAGCTAGTTTCAGCCCGACGCAGTTGTCATTTTCACATCCTGCACCACGTTGTTTAAATAGCAAATGCATTTGCGCCCATTTGTGCGCTCATGGGCGTGCTGGTCTGAAAACGAGGTGTGTTCAGGTGCATTGCTGGCACGTTGCTATTTTGAGGCAACTGAAATAGACTGCGTCATTGACCAACAAAAAATGGCGCAGGTTTTTTTTTTTTTTATATATTTAAAGAGCGCGTTAGTATAGGCAGGTCCACAGCGCGCGTACACTCTGCTTATTACACACACAGGGCCAGCAGCACACAAACATGCCAAATATTAAAAATTAAAGGATTGCAATGTAAAAGATTATTACTATTGTGTAGGCTACATAAATATAAAAATGCCTACATGCCATAATGGATAGTCATTGCATGTATCAGAATTAGGTTACCTACAGGTGCATCTCAATAAATTAGAATGTCGTGGAAAAGTTCACAACTCAAATTGTGAAACTTGTGTATTAAATAAATTAAATGCACACAGACTGAAGTAGTTTAAGTCTTTGGTTCTTTTAATTGTGATGATTTTGGCTCACATTTAACAAAAACCCACCAATTCACTATCTCAACAAATTAGAATATGGTGACATGCCAATCAACTCAAAACACCTGCAAAGGTTTCCTGAGCCTTCAAAATGGTCTCTCAGTTTGGT